ATGAAAACAAGTTTTTTTTCCTTCTTTGTAGCACAACTCTTAACTAAAGTTGATCACTTATTATGTTTTGCAAATAAAGTTTTATATACCTATTTCGGAAACGTTTTGGCTAAAAGAAAAAGTGTTACAAATTTGATGCCTTTGAAGTAGAAAAATTTATGAGAGTAAAGATTCAATCTATTTTTTTGACATGAGTCGATCGAGAAAGATTGTTGCCATCAAGCCTTTAAATTGTTATGACGTTGCATAGCTTCAATCAAGATGCATGAGTATTGACATACTAAAATATTTAGATTTTTCTATTTAAATATGTCTTTGTTGTGATTTGCAATTTTCTATTTCTCTTTTAAACAGTGAGATTCATTAGGGATTGAATCCCACAATAAGTAAATTTATATTTATTGGTAATTATAGATTAATGTGTCAAATATATGAAATAAATATGCTATACGAATGGATGGACCAAAATTATACATGCATCACATTTTTATTGGCTTGTGGTATATGTACACATCATGCTTAATTGTCTAGCTAAATTTAGTTATGTTATTTGACAAACTCAAACTGTATTTACTATCATGTCTGAGCTTGTATGTTTCAAATGAAATTTTGTGTAACTTATTATTTACCAATATTAGTATTGCTTATATTACTTTAAAAATTGTGTATCAATGCATGGGATACACGTGCAGAGCACATGTTCAGAAACTAGTATATATATATATATTAGTAGCATAATTTAATGTTAATATATGAACAACATAACCTATGGTGAAAAATATTTCATTTCTTTAAGTTCTAATATAGCTTTGCGAAATTGTAGTCTTCTCCTTTTTTGTGCTGCATACATATCATATAGTTGTTGTCTAATAAAAGTATCTGGTATATTATAAAGGTTGTATCGTGATATAAAACAATAAACTTTTTCAATAAAAGAATTGAAAGATGAATAAAATGTAAAGTATTATGTATAGAATCTTTAATTTAATTTAAGATCATTTTATGATCAATCACTATGTTCTTATCTATTTTTATATAGCTAGCAAGGAGTGTATCTTGTGACATAACATTTTCCTAGATTAAAATGAACACAAAATAACAGGAAATTCATACTTAAAAATATTATAGTCAATATAAATACATATAAAAAATAAATAATATATGGAACACAATTCATAGCCAATGAAGAAGGAAGACGAAAATATATGTTCATGCTATATTACTCTAGTGTTCCATTTGATTGAAATATCTTTCCAACAATACTTTACTTTCTCCATTCATTTTACTTACATATCTATTAAAATAAATTTATTATCATGACTATATTATCATATTATAAGTAAAAGTGAAAATCTATTTTTGAAAAAGTAGACTTAACATCAAAACTATTAATTCAATGGACTACATTGATGCCTGTTATTTTAGAAAAATTAGGAAGAATCTCCTTCATTTGAGGGTAAAAAAATAAAAAATGAAAAAAAAGAGAAGATTATGTGCCTTTTTGGTATTTATTTATTATTATTTTCTCTACCACAACTTGATCTATTAATTTTATCAGAAAAAATAATTCACAATGTGTGTATTCGTCACTATTCACTCATTATGTGAACACTAATTATAAAATTCCTTCTCCAATGAAAACACAAAAGAAATTAATTGAAGAAACAAAACAAAAAAAGAAAGAAATGAGAACTCTGGTGCACTATATGTAGAAGTTTTGTGTGTGAATGAAAGCACTCTTAATTGCACATTTCTCGGTTTTTTTTTTTTCTTCTTATTTAATAGAAAGCAAATACATAAATTTTCATGCTATGAACTTCGGTGAACCTTATCAACGGATTGGGGATTAATCATTTATGAAATTTTTTAATGATCTCAAATTATCGCATAAAAGAAATCCCCAAGAATTTATAAGAAGTGAATGATTTTGATTAATGACCGAAGAAACATGAAGGTTGAAATTGTTGTGACTATTTGTAGTAAATAAGTGTTCTCTTGATAAATAAAATATGCAGGCTAACTACGAGGGTATAAATGTTCTAAAATGCTATAAATATTATTGAAGTATTTATGTGATGAAAATCGTAATAAGAAATTACGAGTGTGAATTGATGAATGATTTTTTACAATTTGTTCACCAACTCTTTCTTATGTGGTACCTCAAATTTCATTGAATTTCGACCTTAGTCAATTGTTGCAAATACCATTTGAGATTTTTTAAGAAGAAGAAGAGTAGAAAATTTTAAAAATCATAGATTAAAAGTTAGAGGAAACACCCTATATTTATTTATAGCTAAGAAATAGTAGTATGAATAAGTACCTTATTAGAAAAGTCACAACCTTTCAAAAAATTCACTGTTCATCGAAAAAGTCACAACCCTTTGAAAAAGTCACAACTCATCGGAAAAGGCACAACACTTTGGACAATACACAACCCTTTGAAAAAGTCGCAACACATCGGAAATGTCACAATCCCTCAAAAAAGTCACAACCCTTCGGAAAAGTCACAACCCTTCGGAAAAGTCACAACTCATTGGAAAAGTCACAACTCTTTAATGTGAAAAGGTATCTACTTTTTATATAATAAAATTAATTAAATAAATATATAAAATAATTTGAGTATTTTTATTTGGGGGTATTATAATAATTCAACTTTGAAGTTTGAGAGTTCATGCTTTTAAGGTAGTGTAGATAGATAGATACAGATAGAATAGAGAAAGTAGTGTTTTCAAAACTCTAAAAGTAAGTGCAATGAAATTTTTTATGCTAAATGAATCACAATTACATTAATTAGAGGGATCTTAGTAACTCATTGCTTGATTAGTTGAACTCCAACTTATTGATAAGGTTCGATTCCCTACATTGTACCGCTCCATTTCCCTTTTCTTTATCCGCAATTTGTAAAATAAAATAAAGTAACTTTTTTTTTTATCATTAGTTATGAAAAGATTTATTTAAGAGAATTGTTTTTTATTATGTCCCCGTGGACCCACAACCACATCATTTCACTTCATCATCTTCTTCTTCTCTCTACTTTTTCATCAAATTTTAAAATTATTTTTATTTATATATAAATCGTAATTCTTTAAGATTATTTTTGGATATTGTTGTCATCTAATTTCTTTCTCTTTTTTTCATCATATAAAGGCCATTGTATTATAAAAATTATATGAATCATATAATTTTTATTTATTTTTTATTAAAAAGTCGTTCAACTTTAAAATAGGCATAATATATATATTGGACCCTAAACTTGACTTCAAATTTTAACTTTGACCTCCAACTTTCATAGTGCACAAACAGACACTTTAACTATCCAACTTATAAATAAATAAACACGCAATTTTTGCAGCCAAAGAGCGTGAAATGCAAACGCTCCCACGTGTGTTAGTGAGCCACTCAATTGCTGCCAACTAATTAAATATATTACACGTCAATTTTTGAACTAAAAAAAATAATCCAATTAAAGACATTTTCATTTCACCCAATAGTCTCTCAAAAGGTCAAAACCCTAGCTAGGATAAACAACCAAAATCTAGTGAATCAAAGAGAATAATCGTTCAAAATTTCTTCTGAAGCTGATGCTCATCTATTCATCTTCCTCAATTTAGTTCAGGTATGCCTCAATTTTGCCCTTTTGAAAATTTATCTTTGATACAAGGTAGAATCTTTTTGTCACCATGAGTGTAAAATCGTTATTTTCTTACAGCTTTGGATTGTTCGCAGACCAAGAAATCTTCGTTATAGCTCTTTTTCCACAATGACAAAAAAAAATTAGAACCCATTTGCACTAAATATTAACAGAAATTGTTCTTAAGAGAGGAAAAAAATTTGCTTTGAAAGAGGAGGAAAAAAATGAGATTTTGATTTGGAAATATAAAGATATATATAAAAGGGATTCATTAAGGGTAGAGTTGTCATTTCAACATTTTTTTACTGTTGTGGGCCTCAAAAATTACTCCTAACTCGCGCAGAATAAGTGCACATCACACATTTTGCCAGGTAGGACTCTCGTGTTTATTTATTTCAAAATTGGATAGTTAAAGTGTCTGTTTGTACATTATGAAAGTTGGAGGTCAAAATTAAAATTTGAAGCCAAGTTTAGGGTCTAATATATGTATTATGCCTTTAAAATATATAGCATAAAAGTCAAATTATTAAAAACTTTTTCACTTGAAAATCTTTCAACTTTGACCAATTTAACTAGAAAGTAAATTTTACCTAAATTTTAATATTTTATATTAAAAACATGATACAACACTCAAAAGTATATTAACTACTTGCAGGATAGTTTTAGAAATATATTTAACTTCATAACACAAAATTTATTTGGAATATACAATATTACATTGAGAGTAATTGATATCGATTACAGCAGACACCCAATTAGCAAGCATGTCAATCAACCAGAACCAAAAAGAGAGAATCAAATAAAATCAATACATGGAGAATGACGGAGAATCGAAAAGTAGCAACGACTGTAATCGGTATCAATTACTCTCAGTGTCATATTGTATAATTTTATAAAATTTGTTCAATTATATAATATCTACTTGTGCACGTTCAAAATTAAAGGTTATAGTTGTCAGCTAAAGTCAAGTTAAGAGTCATGTTTATATATTATAAAAAAAAAACATGAATAGTTCTTTTTGGTGTTTTTTCCATGTGACACAACATTTATTCAGAAAGTGATAATCAACAACATTACTGTCAGCCAATAATTACAAGTATAATACAAATGGATCGTACAAATCATTGACTAGTTTTCAAAATAAAATCAGAAAATTACATACAATGGCAGGAAACAGAGATACTCACCATTACAAATAAGAAGTAATAGATTCTGAAAGCGTATAATACAAATAGATTGTTGATTTGTTTCCAAAAGAAAATTACATCCAAAGAGTGAGAGACTCACAAACAGACAACCCTAGAAAAAATGACATCCAATGGCAGGAACCAAAAAGACTCACAAACAAAGAAACAATTACAAATAATACTTAGGAATATATTTTCAGATACGGAATGTGTGCAGTTTTGTGCCAGTCTTCTCCAATTCCCTTCTCGCACCGCTTTTCCACTTCTGGACATCCCCAAATTCCTAAATTTGTGAGGGTTGTTAGGTGTTGCAATCCCTCAGGTAAACGTTTTAGCATCTTACAGTAACAGACATACAACTCAGTGAGTGAAGTTAAACCTTTCACCCCTTCCTCTGGGAGACTCTCTAGTGCGTCACACATATGAATTTTCAGACTCTTCAAAGCATTGAGACTAGCCAGGCTGGTAGGCAGCTCTCTGAGATTCTTGAAGTTAGAGATTTTCAAGTCTTTGAGATTTGCAAGGTTTTTGAACATCTCTTCTGGGAGTGAAGTAGCTTCTTCGCTTTCCCTAATATTGCGGGTAGTAAGAGTCCTAAGATGAATATCAATATCCACTTCTTCAACATACTCCGCAGGTCCCAACTGTAACTCTAGACTTTCTAGACAAGGCAGATCACCAAAGGGTGGTAAGCACGAGCAGTTTCTGCAGTCGTAAATTACAATAGAGACAATATTTTTCAAAACTGAGTGATTCATCCAGTCTGGGAGACGGAATCCTCTGAAGCTATTGATTTCTAAATATTTCAGATTGGGGTGTGGTTTGAGGGCTTCAAGCACTTTAACTTCTTCTGATTCATATCTATGTGGTCCGCTGTCCCAACTCATGATTAAAGAATGCAGATTCCCTTTTGCAGATAAATTGGCTTCTTTTGCATCCTTATCATTCTTCACTCTCTCAAGATG